TTTTTTTTTTCACAATAAAGTTTGCCATTGTTTTTTGGCTTCAGCGTCACTTTGTCAACACAGCTCAAGCTTCTAATAAGATGGTGCACAGTTAGGGTGCTGACATATTTAAAATTGTATCTACTATAGATGCAGCAGCACTGACAGTGTTGCTGATAAGTCAATTCCTGACAATCAGAGTGTGTCTTCAACAAAGAAAAGGAAAATAATGGACATAGAAACTGCAGAAATAACTTTGGTAACTGAATCAGTGGATGAAAGCAAACCTGAAAACACGATACAAGGAAACCTTAACTTAGAACTAGCTGACAGCATTGTTGCAGACAGTTTGGAGACGAAGCATGACTCTTCAAGTAACTGTGATTTAGAACCACTAGAATGTAAAAAACAGCTGGTGAGCAAAGTGGAAAATGTTGCTGAAAGTCTAGACGTCAACGAAAACAGCGAAATGGTCATGGGCGAAGCATATGGTTGTCAAGGGAAAGAAGAGAAAGCAGATGAACAAAGCAGGTTATCCTCGCTCCTTGTAAGACATGCCTGTCGATCGTCACAAGGGGACACTCCACTAACAGATCAAGATAACGGTCATGAGCGGCAGGCCGTATCACAATCACTTCACTCAGCTACACAAAGTGATCACCAAGATGCAGCTGAGCTGTCAAACGACTTACATGTTCCTCAAGGGTTTCTGTGTTCAAAGATCCCCAGAAAGGTTTGGATACAGTGTTTATTTTATGATGTATTACCAGTTGGTCGATATCATTCACGTGGTACATTTCTTGTCGTATCATTGGCCCTCTATTAACTGGACATGTACTTGACATTTAGCCAGGGCTGAACATGTGTACTCAGCAGTCTTAGTACCGATAGATTATGAAGTTTGCGGAAAATTTGTAGCTGAAGGCTTGTATCCGTTGATGAAACAGTGATCCTGGTGTCAGTGGTGAATTCAGACTATAGATTAGGCGTTGCGTGCAGTGCCAAGCCTAGGACACTGTAGCATAACAACCAGATCGCTTTAACATTTTAGCGTTTAATCCTTTCGTAGATAATTTCCGAATATAAGAATAAATAAGACTAAGAAGACATGTTACGGAAGAGGGGGGAGGGGGGACACGTTACAGGAGGAGGGTGCAGTACAGGTGTTCTCGTCCCGATAACACTTTCCAGTCGAATACGGCCTTTGATGTTCATTCCTGCATGTAACGGTTTATTAATTTATATTCTTGATCGACTGTATTTGAGGTCGTTGCTTCTATCTGAGCTATACATACACGTGTAATTANTCTTGATGGCAGGTAACAATCAAACTAAAAGTAGAGGATACTGGGACACTTTGGTATTGTTCACGCTAGTTTTTAGATTATAAGTAGCGGGTAGTAGAGTAAATGTATTTCCTGCTTTTGGATTCTCCTTTTGACTTGTTGTTATTGTAACTGGTGCATTGTTGTGTCATGTCTGTCATTTGTGATCAAATTACAGTCAATATGAGCAAAGTAGGCAGCCTGGGCAGGTGCATATATAACTGATTGATAATTTGTTTTCTTTACTAGCTGAGCAGCAAGTGTCTGTATGAGGATGAAGACGCACATTTACCAAGTAACTTGGTGGTAGTTGACCACATGTCACTTGTAGTTCGCACAGTTACTACCACTCCCACGTTAGAAAAAACACCACACAGTACTACAACCAAGAACTTTAAGAAATTTAAGAAGGTTTGT